TTGGAGCTATGCTAATAAAGGCACTGTAAATGCATTTCAAAGATTTTTTTTCAAAGGAGAGCCAAGTAGATGCCTTCAGCTCTATTCTACCCACTACCTTCTACCTTTATTCAATTGCTATATCTTGAAATAGCCTTAAATGTTAAATTAGATCATTAAAGTAATAGCTTAAAGTAATATTCGCTACTTGTACAGTATGGGTTGGTTTTGTTTGATTAGTTTCCTATTAACGGCTTGTTTGAAACAATTATTTAACTGTAAGTACACCTAGCCCTTCCTTAACACGAACTTGATCATAAATTTGTCTCCTTTCCGCTCGAATTTGAAAAATATTTTAAAATGAAGAATATTACTTTAACGCACTTTTGCAAGTCATGCACTTAATACATATATGCCATGGATTCGGTGATGTGCAGGCTTTGAAGACAAGGTTATCGATAATGTGCAAGAGATGTTTGAAGAGAAAGTAATGGACAACGAATTATTATTTGAAAAAAAAAGTTTACCTTATAAGGTGTGCTACAAATATCCGTTAAATGCCAATCAACATTCGCAAAACCCTTTTTTTTCAAGTAGGAAAACGGCTGATAATTAAATTAATGAAATTAAATATGACAAATGGTTTCTTAAATTTTATATTAACAGCTGCTTAAATATTGGGCACGTTCAAAAATATTTTACTTTTTAATAAGATTAATCTATTCAACATTTGGAGTAACTTTTTGTTAATTTTGAAAATCTTTGGTCTTTAAAAACAGCGGAAATTTGAACATGAAACATTTTGTTTGTGCATTTGTCGAAATCAAGGAACATAACGCTATATTTTGTCTGGAATCCATGTCTCCCGTGTTAAGCGAGGGCTAGGTGTACTTTTTGTGAAGACAACATCTTATACGAATCTTATACCAATTGGTATTATTCCGATCAATGATAAATGATCCTAAACCATAAATCGACGCCAGCCACAACAGGAAGTGGCGCAAAAAAGTACAAATTCGAAAAAGAACAACATTGTAGGACGCTGTCAAAGCTGCCTTTCGGCCTGGCACCTTGGCAGCTTGGCAGCATTGACAATCATTTTACACTTGGCAGGATATTATGTAAATTGCTTTTCATATTTGTGCAACATTGCCACATACATATACATACGTATAAATATATATACATATATGTATAAACACGCACACACACAGATAGCGAAACGGAGGCAGAAACAGCAAACAAACGGGGAAACTGATGAACTGGATATGGAGAATGGAGAATGGAGACCGCAGGGAGGGACAAGTAAATCACGTCTGTCTCTCTCTGTCTGTCTGTGCGGGTGTTGATGTCAAGCCAAAGGCGGCGAGGTTGAACCCATAGGCTCGTCATTGGACCGACTGTCAACTAACGGCGCCTGCATCATTATGGGCTCGCACGTGCGCCCGTAAGCAGGCAACGTCAATGCCTGATTGAGTGAAAGAGTGACAAACTGAATGAACGTTTGATAAACAGACAAACGGACATGTGTATACAGATCTGGCAGCGGACTGAAAGACCTAAAGAGACAGACCTACGCAGACATGTTTCCAACGAGCTACACAGACCGTGCCCAGAAGTCCCAAACCCAAACTCGAGGTCGACCCCAATTCTCAGGCCCAGGACTCTCAATGCGCCGCACGGCGTCGCCACCATGGGGGGAAATTAACGATGCGTAAAAAGTCCTTTCGGTGGTTTTTATTTATTTACACTCAAATATATGTACACACTCACACAAACGCATGTCAGTGCATGTCTCTGCTTTTTGCAGCCTCGCCAGCAACGGGCGAGCAAAAAAAAAAGAAGTGTATTCGCCGCAGTGTTTCTCTCCGCCGACATTTGTGACATTTTTAATGCAGAAAACGCTTAAAATTCACAAAATGAAAATGTTCGGTTTGACCGAGCGATGGCTGGATGCGGCGGAGTGGGAGGGGAAGGGGGCGCCGCAAATGAAACCGATTGAGTGTTAAGCACAGACGACGACGACAACGACGACAACGACGACTGCCAATTATATTCCCCAGGCGCTTGGTTGGTATCATAAAAAGGCAATTAACACTGATGGGCCCAGTAATAAGTATATCAGCGAGTTCTTTTAAGTTGAAGGTAAATGTAAAACCATAAATGAAGAACGAAAAACAAAAACAACAAGAAACAAACGACCAGTGTGAAAAGAAAATGCAGTTAATCAATCAAAACAGTGAGGAAATTGCGCTTCCTTTGCCACTCACAGTGCCGGTTAAGAGTAAGGACTAGCCATTGAATTAAAGGCACACATCTTGAAGCGCCCATAATTCAATACGATTTCATATTAAGTGGGGGAAATATAAACATGCTTCTATCACTTAGCTATATATTATAGTTCGGAAAGTGAACACATTATAGGACAGAAGCTCCTTTGGGCTCTGCTGTTTTAATATTTTATTTTATTTTATTTCTTTTTTTAAATTATATAAATTTTATACAAATCTACGTTAAGTAAGAAACTCTTTCAGATCTTTGTGGCGTTAGCAGCTCTGTTGTTTAATTCAAAAACCCTTTCAATTTTTAACTCTAAGGGAAATTATGGAAAATTAAATTCAATTAAATCTTCCTTTTTAAAGAAAGAAACCCTTTCGGATGTTTGTGGAGTTTGCAGTGCTGCTGTTCTACTATTTCAATCTTTTTTTAGGAAATTATAGAAAATTCAAAAGCATATATTATTTTTTCTTCCATTATATATCCGTATAATTTACAATTCCACTATGCGTTGTTCGTGGGCCAAACATATTTATGATTTGAAATATATCGATCTGAATGGCATATTTTATTTGGGCAATTTTTAAAATTTCATTTCAAAATCAAAGCGTATATAATATACATATATATTGTATTTTTGTGTGTACATTTGTTTGTTTGATTTGGACTGCTTTGATGCATCGATATTTTTCTCCTCGATTAAATATGCATTATTTTATTTTCGTTCTGGTTGTGAAATAATCAAGCAGCTCGCCACTGCACAATGATCGGAGTTGACATTTTCAAAAATGCATATGCAAATAGGTACTATGCTTGTATATATGTATGTGTGTATGTATTGGTGTGTGTATGCCAATCCCAGGTGCATGGCATGTGAATTATAAACCTGGAATAGACTGCATTCATATATGTATATATGTATGTATAGTAGTAGGTAGATGAAGTCCGGGGAAAACAATGAAAAAGTGATATGAAATGTTTGGCAATTTGTTTTCAGTTTACTCAACACTCTTGGCCAACCAAATAGGATTGTCTGGACAATGGCTGTGACCAGCATGATGGCTCTCCAAAGGATGTTTGCTTTTAATTATCTTACACTTCCGAAATGAGCGGCACGTCAAGTAACTTACCTGCAAGTAAAAAGGGCGAGAGAGAAAGAGAGAAGTGGGATATTAGTGTTGGTTGGACGAAGGCAGACATGTAAGATGTGATTATGCACACACACACACACACACACACACACACCCACATACATATACCCATAGTCGTATGTAGGTGTGTGTGTTACGTTTGTATGTATGCATTTATGGCTATAGAACAACTTAGACGCATAAAATGCTGTAAAATGCACAGAAAATTGAATTCAGACCAAAGTCCCCGAAATCGCTCAGGCATGAGCACACGCACGTTTGTCTATATGTAATCGTTTGTATGTACATTTATGTATACATATATATATATTATAGCTAATTGTCTTTGAATATGTGTGTGTGTGTGAGAAAGATGTGTCGGTCTAACTCAATGAATCAAAGCTTTACTCTCTGTTCAAATGATTCTGTTTGTTTAGCAGAAATGTGCAAAGCCTGTCATTCGCAGCCCCAAACTTCTCAGTTACTTATATACATACGTTGCCGGCTTGAGGTCAAGAAATTTGTTAAAACACATGTGTACATTATGTTGTAAATATTTGAATGGTTTTTTAAATGGTTTGTTAAACAAATTTTGGTAAAAAAAACTGAAAAGCTTACAACAAATATTTGAATTCGGTCTCAATTGCTTAACAGATAATGTAAATGGAATGGGAAGGAAATGCAAGTAAATCGGAAAGATATTCCAATTGTTGATTGGTTGGTTAAACAAAAATTTTGGCAGCAGATTTAATAAGCTTACAAAAAATATTTAAATTCGGTTTCAATTGCTTAACAGATAATGTAAATGGAATGGGAAGGAAATGCAAGTAAATCGGAAAGATATTCCAATTGTTGATTGGTTGGTTAAACAAAAATTTTGGCAGCAGATTTAATAAGCTTACAAAAAATATTTAAATTCGGTCTCAATTGCTTAACAGATAATGTAAATGGAATGGGAAGGAAATGCAACTAAATCAGAAGGATATTCCAATTGTTGATTGGGTATCTTGATTGCTCTGTATTATCAAGAACTAGACAAAATGTTTTGCAGCCAAATTCTTCAACACATATCCTTCAATTTGATTTTAAGTATTTTGATTCATAGCTATAGTTCAGCCGACGAACTCCAATTCACAGCTCTAGTGATAGTGTGCGTGGCATACAAAAAAAAAAAAGGCTTCCATGTACATATTTGCCGATTTACAGCCTATTGCACATTTTGTTGATCGGTGGTATAAAAAGGAGCAGAAAACTAGTCGAGCGCAAATCCAAAACTGAATTAAATTGTGCAGCGCATGATGCTACAAAAAAAGATGTGGCATGAACGATGAGGAAGATGGGAGCGGGTGGAGGATGGCAATGGACTATGAATGATGGACCACGCACAATGGATTTTGTCTGTACTCGTATGTGTGACCATGGCAATGGCTCAATGATTGAAAGAGTCTGTTTTTCGACTGCCTAACTCACAAACATACATGCATACATACTATATATCTTATATACTTGTACTTATAACTCTATTATTATTTGTTGTTGTGGTTGTTATTGTTGCTGGCTCTGCTGCTGCTGCTACTGCTGTTAAACGCGTCGAGCTGGGGGTCCCAAACTTACCGAAAATGCCTTGAGAAATACTAGGCACTGGATAATGCCCTCCATGGTGTCGCCAGTGAGGCAGAATGTGCCCGTTAGGTGGCGCCCCTTGCGCCCCACTGTGGCCGCGGCCAACGAGGCATGCACCAAGGCACGCTGTTGCCCGCCTTTAGTTGCTGTGGCAGCGGCAGCGGCGGCGGCTGCTGCGGCGGTTGCCACCACGCCGCTGGTGAGGGCGCGGGGCAGAGGCGCAGCGCGCATTAGCCGCTCCAAGGAGTCCATTTAATGTTGTTGCTATCGACTTGCTTCTGTGATTGTTGTATTTATTATTTTTTTTTTATTTGTTCTTGTTGCTGTTGTATTTTGTTGTATTTTTTGGGCGATTTTGTTGCATTAACTAATGACTTGTATGGCCATTTTACATGTTGTTGTTGTTGTTTCTGTTGTGTTTTGCTTTTGTTATGTACACTAATTGGTTGCTTGTGCTGCTATTGTTGTTGTAATAGTGTTGCTTGTTGTTGTTGCAGTTTAATAGTTGTCGTTGTTGTTGTTGCAAATACATTTTATTCATTGTTTAACGACTGTTGTTATAATTATATCTGCTGCTGCTGTTGTTGTTATTAATTGTAGTTTATTGTTCTTTGCAAATTGCCTCACGCATATTTTCGAATGCTTGTATTATTTGAATTGTTTCTCTTTTTGGGTTTTTGTTAAAATTGTGTTTGTTTAGCGCTCATTCAACTAAAATTAGTTCAATAATAATAAAATGAAAATAATATTTATTTTTGCTGTTGTTTTTGCTCATCTTTGTTCTCTGTTCTCTGATGACAACAATGTACAAGAATTGCCAATTTACAAAATATTCGACGATAAATGTTTAACCACCACAGACATAAAAAAAATGAGTGTATATTTGTATGTGTGTGTGTGTGTGTCTGTGTGCTTGTTTATGTGTATGGGTTGAGTCGCTGATCACGCACGCACGCACGCACGCACGCACACTCGTCCACTTGCTCACGAGGATTATCAACTGAAGCGAAACGAGACGAGACACGCCAGCGAGCCAACCATCCAGCCAGCCAGCCTGCCAAAGACACGGTCCAAGACAAACTGCGGCTCTACAGCAGAAAGCCGCATCGGGACTGTCAAGCCACTGACGACTGGACAGCTACAACTACAACTACAGCTACAACTACAGTTAGCAGTGCAGCAACAACAACTGCTGGACATACAGCTTTTGTCCATCTGTCGCTGTAGTGCGTGTGTGTTTTTAGGTTTAATTTACGACCAGCTGCGGAAAGGCAACGAAAGTTCCACAGCATGAAGCTATCTGTCAATAACTAATGCTGAGACCATCTCTCTCTCTCTCTGCATCTCACATGTTCTTGCACACTCCGTCTCCCTCCCTCTCTCTCTGTCTTTCTCTCTTCCTCTACAGCACGACCAAAACTGCAAATGCAAAATGTCATTGCGATGACTTTGTTGAACACAGTGGGTGCGGAGTGGGACAGAGTTGCTTTTGTGCAGCAGGAAAAGCATGATAGAGTGAGGGAGCAGGAGATAGAAATGACGTCGTTACTGCACACTGTTACGAAATCTTAGAAGAAATTCGATTGTTGAGGCCCTAAGGCTCTAATATTGCTGTTTAGGTTGACAAGCGGGTTTCTCCTATTATAGCGAGCTCAAGTGCCTCCAAAATTGGACACGCTGGATAGCACCACAAACTAATATTAAAATGTGCATATGTATAGTTGTATTTGTAGCTTGCGAAAAATGAAATAGATCAGCAAGGCCTTGCTACTCCAATAAGGAGACTTACAGAAGAATCCTACACATTACCGATCTTGATAAAACACATCAAGCACGGAAGTGTTCATTTCGACGAGCGTGAGCCAAAAAGTATTTGAAGCAATATCTAAACATTTATTCATAAACTTTTTTTTATCGTTTTATCAATAATTCCTAGAACACTGAATGCTGCCAGATCATTTTCTTAAGTTTTAAAAATGTACTACAATATACTTACTTTCGCTTGACTTATCAACTTCAATCAATTAACTAAAGTTATGTTATTGAATTCGTTTGCATTTTTTTGTTGCAGAATGAAAGTAGTTTTTGATTATTTTAAAAGTGACTATAAAACCGAATTAAGGTGTTGATTAAGCTTTCTATTCCAAATTATCTTAACACACTATAGATTTATAGCCAAATGATTGAGTGAGTCAGTCACCATTTCGAAATGGTATTTTGTTTTGGATTAATCTCCTTGGATATTTCAATAATTAATTACAACTGGAGGTTCCAGTTTAGAAAATTAGTATGTGCCTTTCTCATCTTGAATTTCGATATATTCAATTAAATAAACTAAAAGTCCAAATCTCTACCATATTCTCAACAAGAAAGGGCTGGAAAAGTTATTTATTTTGGTGCTCTTCCAATGAATTCGTTAACGAATTTATGAACAAACTTAGGTAAGCAATTTTTAAGCGCAGGGCAAGTACTAGTAATTATTTCATAAATTTTTTGGCAATGCTTGCCCCAATGTGCCAATGCATTGGCTGGGGACTAATAAAATTGAAGTTAAATGGTTGTTAAAAATTTATAGCAGCAGCTTTAGCTTCCGTGCGCCATTTTTGTTGTTCTGCTTGTGCTGGCTGAGCAGAAGACGTTGCTGGCTGAGCAAAGATGCCAGAGATATAATACATAAATACGAGTATATGGGGCAAGAAGCGGAAGGGAGAGGTAGAGCTGAAGATACTTTACTTCCGCTCGGCAGTTGCTTCTCATATGTGTGTCCAGCTGTCTAACTGTGTCACTGTATGTGTGCGTCTGTATTACAGTTACAAAACAGAATCAACTTGATTGTCTGTCCACTCATTCCGCATATACAAGTATATGTATCGTATACATGAGTATATACATACATAGATACATATATATGCATACATACAGACAACACTCGGTTCGAGTAATTTATCTGTTGGTCCGCAGCATGCAAAATTTTTTACTGGGGCCCGGGACTGTCAACGACTTCGTCTTCGGAGAGCAGGAAACAAAATTTATATACGAGTATATTCTGCAGCAGTAGTGGCAGAGTGCTGCTGACTTCGACTTTTGGCCAACAGTTGGCACTCGGATGAGCAGCGGACAATGAGCAGAAGGACGGACACAACAATGAGAGGCAGTCTGTGTACGGGAATGGGTGGGAGGGGGTGTGGAGGGAGGCACTGTATTAACTGCAGCTAAATCAAACTTTTGAGCCAAGTTATGAATTATTTGCCATTGTGCAGCAGCAGGCGAAACATTTTCTTGCTTTTGCCTTGGCCTTTGCACACACACACACACGTAATGGAAGAGAAAGATATAGAGGAAGGGCAAAGAGAGTGTACGGAGAAAGGAGCCAGGAAGTGAGACCTTTTCCGCATATTGTGTCGTCCTTTCTGCCACCTGCCAGAGGACGTGTGTGTAGGTGTGTGTGACAGCGTCCTGCGCTTTGTCATTCAGGGTAAACTTTCTACACATAAATATGTACATAATTTTTAGCTATGCCAAGTCAATTTGAACAACATTTTTGCCGCAGCCAAGCATACAAACAACATAAATTTATTTTTATTTTCCCCCCATTCCCTTCTCTCGTGCAGCACACATTTAAAGGACGAAAAAGGTTGCTCGACAAGGCAGGCGCACAATAATATAAATATATATGTATATATTTTTGCTAGCTGTGATGATGTGGCATTTGACTTTCTGGACAGACGGACGGACAGACGGTTAAAGGCACGTAAATTTAATAGACGGTTAAAGTTTGAGGGGCCAACATCTAACAAACAAACCAGCGACCAACAACAACAACAACAGAGACTGAAACTGAGAGAGAAAAAAATGAGACGAAATGGAGCAAAAATTAAGTGAAAATAATAAACCTCCTTTGATGAGCGGCCAGGAGGGCAAGGCGGTCTACACGTTTTAACCCTGTCTGTTGTATTTTTGTTTTTTTTTTTTTTTGTTTGTTTGCAGTGCCACTCCAGTTAATTAAGGAACGCTGCACAATGGGCTCAAAAGGCAAGACGCTTAACAATAGATGGGCGTCATTGGGACTTTCAGAACTTGTCCAAAATTGTTGAGCTGCTAAATCAAGTCGGCACGAAAGTAAATTAAAAATGTCCATTGAAATGCTAAGTACATAACTCCAAAAGCTGGCTTTGTGGAACTTTGTCCAACTCTTTTGATTGGAAGCCGTTGAGAAAATACGAGTAGCAAGCCGTGAATGATGGAAAATATTAGTAATATGTATTTGGAAATATTTATGAAAGTGTTAGGCAGCAGCTAGCGTGCCAAAGGAAAAGTTTCCGTGTTTCTCACTTCTGCTACATTTCTGCGGTGAAGTCACGTCCAATGATAAAAATTGTGTAATTTTGATCAGAATTTCAACAATTTTGTTCAAGCTTTGTGGAGTGTTCTAAAAAAGGTAACGGTTTGAAATTTTTGAAGTTCAATGTTTTCAGAAAGATAAGCCCAACATAAAGCTAAAGAAGCACAAAAAAGGAAAACTTGCGATCAAATAAGATTTAGGTTGTAAAGTTGTTAAGAAATACTCTCTTTGACTCATCGTTAGTAGACATGACATTTAAAATGGCACAGTGATCTGTGTTCAGTTCAGTTTCCATAAGAAATTTATTATTAAAAGGTTAAATTTACCTTTTGTTCAATTTATTAAATTAAAATGTAATAATTTCTTCCCGGATTAGCAGGAATACTTTGACGGTACTTGGTTCTTCAATTTTGTTTACCTTGAATTTAATTCGTTTTTTTTTTTTTTTGTATTATTTCAGAAAGTTTATTTAAATTACTTGCACTTTGAAAAAGTAAAAGTGGTCTCATATCTGCTAAAAAGTTAAACTGTCGTGTTATGGCCAAATCTTCAGGCCGACTCCGTAGCATAAAAAAAACAATAAACAAATAATTTTGACAATTGAATTAAATTCACCGAAGTACTCCGCCACCTAAATTATCCAATAATCTATTTTAACAATGGACTTGTAATGGATTTAAGGACCATATACTTGTACAAAGAATTGCATTCGTATAAGAGTAATTAATGTCTACTTGAGGTTATTTATATCTTCAAGATGGTGCTCCCTACCTATTTGTTGGTTATTTAATGTCTATGCTTTTTTTTTTCAATAAGTGGGTGAACCGATCTGTGCACCACGGACAGTTAATGAAAGTTATTTTAACAACTACTTGTACTATTTATTTTTTACTTCTTTTTCATCCCTTCGTTTATTACTCATTCCCCTGAGGAATCCAGTTCAAAATGTGGCTTAAAAGAAAGTTCTCACATCAAACAGTTGCTTTTCAGGAATGTATTCTTCACATGGGAGAATACTATTGGCATAATAAGAAGGCAATTATTGGAGGACAGACGTACAAAGAAGTCTGCAGGAATGTACAAATTAACATGAAAAGAATATACATGTTTGTAAGGAGCTCTTTAAATGTTCACACAATGTGACCACAAAAGCGCAGCATGTAGAAAAATTCGAAGAATCCCTCACATGAATTGTACATCAAGCATAGACGTTAATGGATTAGAAGAGTCTTATTACAAATCGTATATCATATTCGTTAGCCATAGCCGCCTGTGCAGAGAAAGCTGCGCATGAGTGGCGAATGTCTGTGTGTGTGTTGGAGTATTTAAACACTTACTGTGTGTGTGTGTGTGTGTGTCTGCTGCAAACTTGGAAACTGTGCAAATGAATGGCAAAGGCATTGAAATAATGAGCCGTATTTACATTTCAAAGCCCACAATGGACCCGTGGCAACGGAGCCGAGGGGCCGACAAGGCTACAAAGTTCCATGGGCCGATTGCATACAATTTGTTTTATGGCCCGGCGTGCACATTAAACGCGCACTTAATCACACGCACTGGGCGTGGCATGAGCCCGAAGCAAGGGCCCGGCCCGGCCCGGCCCAGCCCAGCGCGGCGACAAATCAAATTGATTTTACTTTTGCGTTTTTTCCCACTTCTTATACCCTTTTGCAGGGTATAGAGGCATTCAACCGTTATTCGTAACGCAACTAGCTCTAAGCATATAAACCGGTAGTTGTCATATTGATTGCTTTAATATCTAGGAATCTGTGCATACTTGTCTTGAGACAATTACTGGCATAGCACCGGTTTTATTGCAGCTTTACAAATTGTAGGGAATGCGATTATAATGAAAGCTATTCAAATAATACTTACAAAATAGGTTCATTTGCATTTCATCGAACCTGATTCAAGTAAAACGCTATAGCATTCTAAAAGAATTTCATAAAATACAACAAACATAAAAAATTTAATGGAAACCTTGCTTTTTTTAAAAGGATGGTTTGATTATGATTTGTCCTATTTAAGCAATTAAATTTTGTAAAGAGCTTGCTTTTGAAATTCGTTTAAGTGCGAAACGGAAATATCAGTGTTTACAAATAAGCATATCTATTTATAGGGAAAATACGGAGCTTAATGCACAACGAAGAAGCTTATGTACATATATGTACATAGACCGTAATGGTTGCACTGTCTATTTGATCTCTAATATGCAAAAAAAATAGTACAAAAAGGAAATATAATCAAAGGTTTGGAAACTAAATAATTGTATAACAAAATATAGCATAAAAAAGTTCAACAATAAAAGGCTCACTAGATAAGCAGTGTATATAGTATTCGGCTCAACAACAATTTCGCCTGTCTTGTTTTCAATTCTTTTTTCTCTACTTTCTGTTTTTGGGATTTTTACGTTGCGTTATTAAATCACTTTTATTGCCACTGAAATGTGCAAAAGTTTTGCGGGCTGCACAGTCGCGGCAACCAAGGCAACGGCAGGGGGAAGGGGGCAGACAATAGGGATAAGTGTGTGTGTGTGGTGGGGGGGGGGGGGGGGGGGGGTGGCACAGCACAATTACGCATGAAATGTTAGCTGTCGGCTCTCCTTGGGCTATTGACAACGACGCTGACGACAACAACGGGGCGTAGGCGCCGGCGCTGGCGATGGCGTATACGTAATATTATTTTTAGATGCGCAAAATATTTCATATTTATGCATTTCGACTTTTATCAGCTCAGCTAACAGCGTGTCGGGCCAACGGACTGACTGAGTCGCTGACTAACTGACTAGATGGCTGTCTGGACGGTCGTCTGGAATCGATGAGTTTGTCGCCGCTCCGGCAAATGAATGACGTTAGTTAGAAAAGAGTCGAGCAATGCGAAACTGTAGAGCCTGCAGGACATGTTGACACCTAAGCATGAGCAGCAGAAGCAAAACAGTAGCTTTGGGTAATAAACTAGACAAGCAAAGAACCATTTCTCGAAGCATACCAGCTGAAGAAAAAAAAAATCAAAAAAGTATTTGAAATTTTTACGCCACTTTTAATTTTGAAAAAAAAGCAGATACATTAAAAATACAATATCAGCATTCAATTGAAAATTACTCCAACTCTTGAAAACTTGACTTTGTTGTACCAATCATTCATATGACAGCTATATAATAAACTGCATTGATTTTAATGAAATTTCGGAATATTGTATAGAAACTCCCATAATACCTGCTTCCGCTTTTGCACCGACTGTTCCTATAATATAGCAATATAATAAACCCGTTCTTTATGTATGTTCGTATAGTCCTAAAGAACTCGAGAAAATAAATTAACAATGGATTTGATTTTGATACTGAATCGATTAATATTTATATCAAATTTCTGCCTATTCATAATATCTATGATATCTATATAAAATTGCTTTGAAAAAGGAATCAAATGTCCATAAAATAAATACATACGAGTATACTACGTAAACGGACTGGTTTGGGTATTTCAAAACCAATTTATGTAGCTAAGCGAAAATTAGAAATAAATTGCGACGTGGTACGAACAATTTTTCTATGAAATCTATTTCTTGTTAAAAATAGACAGCTATTTAATGATTGATAATTGTAATTTGCCAATAATTGAATTTCCCCATTCTTTTATAAACACGTTTTTCATGTGAACTTTGCGATATCGAAAGCAAGCCATTGTGCACTTTTCCCCAGAATTAAAATGTACAGCAATTAGTGAGGATTCCAAGAAGTTGGAAAATTCCATCGATATTCGGAGAATTCGATGCAGTTATTTTTAAATACTATGGGATTTGCACTTGCAAATATATCAAGCCCTTCGTTTATTAATTAATTTTGTTTTGGAAACGCCTGGGATTCTGAGAATTTTGTTCAATGGTTATGTCAAGCAACAGTACTCGACATAAGTGCTGACATTTCTGAAGATATGCGTTAATTGAAATAGCAGCATTTTTGAACTAACTGGCATTCGATTTAAATTATTAATTTCGTACAAATTGTTGCAGAGTAAAGAACAGGAATTAATTAATCATTTAAATCATTGTAAGCGGCTTAAATCTGAAGAATATTCAGTGTGTGTTGTGTGTGTACGAAGATGTCTAAAACATACTGTTTGCTCCTTTTTATTATGATTTTATTTCATTTTATTTTATTTCGTTTCATTTAGGGCTGCAGATCGTGGTGTGTGAGGAGTGTTAGGCAAGAGGCGTTCGCATTATGCGTTGCCGTCGAGGCGTGTAATTAGATTTGCCAGCACTGGCATTTAGAGCAGCAAGAGCAGCGTGCAAGAGTGGTGGGCGTAGTGGGTGTGGCAGAGGTGCGGAATGGGGAACTGCATTTGGCAAAGCAGGCGTAAGTAAATACGCTGAAAAGTGGCAGCCAGCAGGCAGCAGTCCATAAACAGTTACCACCGACTTCTCAGTTAATGAACACGATTCGGAACTATTTCACTGTTTGTTGAGCAAAAGCCCCTTAAAGCCACTATTAAAGCAGCATCTAATCCAAGAAATTCCATTTGATGGCTGCCATTTACAAAAACACTTTGTCTTTCCAATTGAGTTTCAAGTTCATTAAGGGATTCTCAGCAAAACCAATTGATGGTTTTTTTTGCGATATTCTTCCCATTTTTCTAAATCTTCTAATCATACCTAATAGTCCAGTCGAGTGATAATAGATTTACGATAGTTTTTATACCCTGTACCCAAAGGGTAAAAGGGGTATACTAGTTTGGCAGACCCTCCAAAGTACATATATTATTTATCAGTATGAAAAGGAGGGTCGATATAGCTATATATGTTCGGCTATCTGTATGTCGGTATGAACGCAAGGATTTCGGAATCTATGAGAGCAAAATTACCAAATTTGGTATCGAGGTTTTCCTAAGCCTTAGGCAGGTCAAGTTTTTTCATTCTTCCCCCCGCTCACCCGCTAATAGTTATTTTTCATAGCTCCTGTAATTCTTGGAATTTCGAACCCAAATTAAATATCTAAATTCATTTAGTAATTATGTTTCCGCATGTTAAGTTTCGATTTGAAAGGAAGTTATAGCCACAAATGTAATCTGTGTCCAAACTCTGCCTAGCTTGCATGCACATAAATACTCATAGAGATGATTTGATTTAAATTATGTCTACACTCATGTATATATGATTTAAATATTTCCTATTCAATTTAAAAATTTTACAAAATACGTTTTTTGTTCTTTTTTTGAAGAGTTGAGCTCGCTCTCAACCGTAGCATTCCTTTCTTGTCTATCTTTCGTATTTACTTGCATATTTAAAATATAATGTTATGGCAGAGAAAATTGTTTCGGCTTTGATTTTAGAAACAAAAACAATGTATCATCGATAAAGACTTCGGTTTGTTGTGTTCAGTTTAAGTTTAAGTTTCACACGCACAAGTTTACACAACAGCATAAAAATCACACATACATTGAATTCAGGACAAAAATCACACCAAAAAAACTCACCGAAAGCCGACACCCTACTCGCATTTCACTCGCCACTGAAACAAACCACAGATTGCCAGAAAAATGCCCCTCAACTGTGTGCCGCCCCCGTCGCTTCCGCTGCCCGTCGAGTGCTACGATAAATATGGCCATATGCCATATGCCACGCCCTCGGAGGAGAAAGTGTACAAATCGGACGCTTTCAAGAAAATGAGGGCCGAGCAGAAGAGTGAGGCGGAAGAGATACTGAAACGACCCAATTTGGAACAGCAGCGCAGACTTCCGCCGGGCACAGTACCCCCGCGAATGGGGTCCAAGGCGCCGCCGACAAAACAAAAAGCCGAGGGATCCAAGGCGACACATTTTCATGTGTTGGGACGCCCTTGGAAGGCTATGCCGTACACAGAGTTGACGCAGAACGATTTAAAACGGCTGCGCAATGCACGACCGAAGTCCTTTGAGGATCGTCATCTGCAACAGGAGCGCCTGCAGATGGAACAGCAACGTCGCACCGACGAGATCGAGGACTTGCGTATTTATTTTCGTGACATTGACGAGGCCCATCGTGCGCGAGATCGGAAACGGGAGCGCGATATCGCGCTGCTCGGTGCGGACGTTTTCGAGGATAAGGTGAAGCTGGAGGCCAAACGATTGCAAGTGCTGCACAAGGCTCTGAACGAGAAATATGCCACGGACGAGCTGGTCAAGAATACCAAACGAGTGATAAGCGATGCCAAATGCAGTGCCATATGGTCGGCCCAGATCGCAGAGCGGAAGCTGCTCGAACGCGTTCAGGAGCAGCACGATCACGAGATGATGCGCAAGAACGAGGAGTACAACAATTCAAGGTGGGGCACAAAGGATCAGAAGGAAGAGACGGAGGCACAACGACGTGCCGAATTCGGTGAGGCCGTGCGCCATCAAATCAGCGAACATATGGCCTTGCGCTTTCAGGCCGATGATCGCAAAAAGATGGAGGCACGCGATGTGCGGGCTGCTGCCGCTGCCTATAGGCGAGCAGAGACGGAGCGCAGCGAGCGGATGCTGAAACAAAGGCAGGAGTATCGCGAGGAGCTGGAACTCTATGTGCGCATCCACAAAGATTTCCAACGCATGCTCTGCGAACAGGAGCGCATCGATGAGCAGCGAGCTCTCGAATATATGATGGCGAAGGAGAAGCAGCTGAAGCAGGAGCGCAAAGAGAAGGCCGCTCACGACGCGGATATCTCGCGCAGACGCGATATTCTCTACACCATACAGCAGAAGGTGCTCGACTCCCAAGGCAATCGCGATGAGATGCGCTATCTGATGGAGCGAGAGCAACTGGAACGCAAATATCGCGAGGATGAGCGCGTCGAGGCCGAGAAGCGTAGGCGCATGGAGCTGAAGCTTCGCGACGATCGTCGCCAGCAAATCAAGGAGCAGCATGAGGCGAAGGCTTGCTTCTATCAGAAACAGGAGGATGAGCTTCAAATGCTGGCCGCCCAACGTGCCATCTTTGAGGAGAGACAGAAGAAGGAGGAGGAGAAGCTGACCTGCAGGCGAAAGACCTTCCATGCGAGCGTCGCCAAACAGATCGAGGATCGCGAAAAGGCGCGACGACGTCGCATAGAAGAAGAAAATCTGGTATTGGAGCGAGCCCGATTGAGCAATCGGGAACGCCAGGAAGAGATCAATACGGTCATTACCGTTCAGCTGGATGAGTTGGCGCGCACCGAGTGTGTGCCGCCCGAGAAGTTGCGTGTCCTGCTCGGGCGTGTGGCCAATTTGGATAAGAAACGTTTGGGTCGTATCTAGATTTTAAGAGCATTTCAATTCGATTTCATTTGTTGTTATTATAGTGCAAACATTATTCGCTGATTTTGCTGCACACCAACAGCCACACACAGACAGAAACAAACAAACAAACACACACACACACACATAAGAACACATATTGATGTAGAGAGTGCTGTATTAAAAGCGTGGCAGAACTTAAAGCATACATTGTGGCGTCAATTTGTTTTGTTCTCTTAGCTCCACCCCACCCCACCCCCCTACTCTTCTCCATTCCATTTCATTCACTGCTGTCACATGCAGCCGTCGACTTTTCAACTCAACAAGTTCACACGCACACAACTTCAGTTCAAGCTGCTGGCAAACAATAACAACAACAACAACAACACCAACACCAACTGAATGACTCACCCACTGATCTCTGTTCTCTGGGGTTGAAAGTCGACTCGTGTGTGTGCGTGTGTATGTGTGTGGCAGGGCGCATCATTAATTAAACGAAACTTAACTGATTGTCTTATGCATATGCCGTAATAATCCAACAGCATTTTATATAATAAGTATACCAGAAGAGTAGGGGATGGGCCTGCAAGCAGAACACCACTAACGGGGTTATGCTTCACAACATATTTGTAAGCATTCGTGATTTTGATTTGCAATAAATTTGGTCGAACTGCCCTTCGCAGATGTTACGCAAAAATTCTACAGTCTTCGCCAAATACAATTAGTTAAAACGAAATGAAACGAAAATATTATGAGCTCGCCATGCTAGTTTTAACCTTATTTAAGAACTATATTATGTGTGTTCAGTTTTTAAAATGGTTACTCAGCCAAAAATAATTAAAAGTTATTAGTTGAAGTAATCCATTGCTAGAAAAAATTTCTTTTCTAAAGCATCTCCAATATTGCCGACAAATAAGTGAAATGGTTATCGCTTTCGGTTACAGAACTAGAAAACCACTATGAATAGTTAGAAAACTCGCCATAAAATGGCAAGAAAAACAATTATAAGAAAGAAAATCGGCCAGAAAATGTCCACTAAAACTAGAGAGAAAAACCGATAGAAAGTGGCTAAAAACACCGCTATAAATAGCTATTAAACACACTAAAAAATAGATAGAATATTATTTTGCATAAAAAATATAAATGTTAAATACATGGAATCAACGAAATCCACAATTATGTGCGTCTGTTACAGTAAGATTGCCAAACCAGCATTCAAAGCACTCACATAAGAGATGTGATTTTAATAAACAAATCTCTTTTCCATTAATTGTATAATTAATTCAATCTTAATGTTAATTAATTTCAATTGTTATACTTGTAGGAGTGAAAAATGTTCAAAACATAAGCCCTGATTTATGGGAGAATTTCTAAACGCTTTTGACGAATGAGAAACTATTCCAAATCCATATATTTGGGTATTTCACCACAGACCCCACCCTCCAATTACGAAAACAGACCGATAGATAGATGGCGAATAAGTAAGACAAATACTTGTAGAGAGGGAAGCAGAGATACAAGTAGAGAGAGATTTGGAGGGACAGGCGAAGCAAGTGACAGCTTAACATTTGTAAGGTCAAAGTCGCTGATTAATTGAGTTAAACACTTTGTAGAGAAGGCTCCGTGGATGGGGATCGAACCGATAGATGGTGGCTGGATTTTGCCATTGCTTGGCCAATTTAAAGCGCGCCCAATAGCTTAGCTGCTGGCGATTTCTTGTGGCTGCTGCTCTCCTAGAGCTTAATGATGTGAAAGAATATTACCCTTGACTGCACGGAGTAAACTGTCGCGTATTGAGGGTTGCTACTTTTATTTATATTGCTGCTGCTGCTGCTGTTGCTGTTGTTGTTGCGGATGGTTTTTGTTTTGTTAGCTTCAATATGAGTACACAAACATACGGATGCTAGTGTTGTTGCTGTTGCTAAACTTCTCTGCGAAGGCAGCAGAGTGGAGGGGCCAATAGCTAAATACTTGCAATGATGAAGCATTTATGAGCAGCTTGCCAACTTCGCATCTACCGTTCAAGGGAGTGTGTGTGTGTGTGTGTGTGTGTGTGTGTGTGTGTAATGGCGATGCTAAACTGCCTTGGCAACGCAGTCTGCACACTCACACACACTCGCATGCACACAGGGCGCTACATACAACAATATAATTGCCAGCCAGCCAGCCAGCCAACCAGCCTGCCAGGCAACTAGGCAGCTAGGCAGGCAGGCAATCGCGTTGTATAAAAAGGCATAGCATACTTTTTTGCGCGCCATTGTACTAAGCCCCCGACTGTGCCTCATGACGCAACACAAAGCGCAGGAAGAGTTGGAGGGGGCAGTAGCTGCTACTGCGTAGTCATCGTTGGGATTGGCGTTGTCGCTATCGTCTTCAGCCTCAGCCTTTGCCACAGCCTCGGTCTCAGTCCCAGTCCCAGTCTCGGCCTCATCCTCATCCTCTTCGTCGTCGTCGTCGTCGTCTGTGTGGCCGTAACACAAAATCAGTAAAAATACATACATATATAGTAAAACAAACAATAGCAAAACTGATTAAGTCGGAAAAACCACATCAAGCTAAACGATGATGAAGAAAAGACCAAAAGATTGCGAACGTTGAACGTTGGCTAGTGGTGGGTAACAACAACAGCAGCAACAACAACAATGCGGAGCCTGGGCAAAGGAATGGGCCTCACTCTCTTTATATAGGAAATGAAAATAATGCGGGTCTTATGGCAGCGGCAGTAGCCAGTAAATACTTCTATATGTGTGGGTGTGTGTGTGTAGCTCACAAGAAATGAAAACGAAGCAAAAGTTGAGAGTTGGGGTCCAGTAAAGTGGTAGCAACAAAAAAAAAAAAAAACTACATACTACTACTACATACATATCGAATAATTGAAAGGATTCACACAAGCTGCGCAAAATGAAGCTTGTGGTGGAGCGCGAGAGAGGAAGGTGGTGGTGGCAGCAGTAACTGGGGTCGCTGGCGGACCGTTTGAGGATAACGAACGGTCGCAAAAACTTTTAAAAGCCAAGCAGCGACAAGTCTCAGAGAAATGATAGTAATGCTTTATGACAGCGACACTGGCTCGATTGGGTCGGGATGGTTGGTTAGTAGGTTGGTGAGTGGGATGGTTGGTTCGTTTGGAGGGGGTAGGGAGAGGGGTAGTGGTTGCTGGATTGGCACACCAGGGGCAGGCCAGTGAACAATGACAGCAAAATTAGTTATTGTCTGGCCATACTTTGCTTGTTTTTTTTTCCTTCCCTTCCGCCAGCTCTGTTTTCTACCCAATTTGCATATGTGTTTGTCGGTCCATGTCCCACATGGAAGCCCTGCCTGACAATTATGTACAATTTACTTTGCATAACACTCTAGAGCAGCAGCAGTAGCTGCGGCAGCAGCAGCAACTTGTCATACAGTAAGTCGCTGCTATTCCTGTCACTCCTGCTGCTTTTTGTTGTTCTTGTTTTTGTAGTTGTCATTGCCACGCTAGCGCGAAGAGATGACATGGCCGTCAGGAGATCTAGCTACGCCAAGTCTTTTGGAGTTCTTCATTTTTTTTTTACACTGGATTGGACTGGATTCGAACCTAAGAAATGAATGTGTACACAAAAGTGGGTCAACAACAAACAAATGCTTAAAGGGCAGCACAACCCTTATTTGATTTAAACTCTCGCCAGTAACTATCCACCCCGCGATGGCATCAATTGATAAGAATGCGAACATACTCAAAACGCAAAAATTGGATTTCAGAAAAGCATTGGAAATAATGCCTAATCGAACTGTCCACGAAGGGGGGGAGAAAAGTATATCAGTTTTGCGACTCTGTTGGTAATATTTTGGGGATCCTTATTATTATTTTTTTTCTTTGCAAGATGTTAACAGATGTTTTTCACTCTCGTCGTATTCTCTTTCACCTTCAGCTTTTCGATTGATGACCTGGCTGACGTTTCGGCTTATAGAAATATATCAAAAATTTGGTAGACTTGTGGAGATCTATCAGGAACGCACATCGACGAAACATTCGAGTGCTACCACAATTATGAAGAAAGGTAGAAGCTAACAAAGAGCAACTTCGAATAGTGAATAGGAATAAAAAACTAAGACGCTCTATTAATGAAATAAGTACCTCCTTAGACCTCATGGTATGCTTCATAAGTATCACTTTTGTGGGCTGACTGTTCATGCATGTGGTACAAAGTTTTGAGTGCGCTTTAGTGTTCTATTCCCCCCATTGTATCAGACTATATTTTATGGCGCCCGACGTGGGGCCCCACATACTGTTCATTAGCTAAAGTGTGTGCTATGGCTGAAACAAATACATGTGATTAGCTTGATTTGATAGTCTTATACTAAATATCATTATAGTTGGTGTGGTTAATTGATGGGTAAGAGCTGGTGGTGGTAGTGAGTAAAGTAAGTGCGGATCTGGATGCACAAATGTACACACGCACGGTGAATTATTCGGATGCAGGTGAAACTTGTTTGCCAAAACTGAGCAGAGATGCTTGTAAGTGAGTTAATGTTGAGCTGAGTTGAATTGCTATTGTGTTGGTGATTGAGGTGAGCAGCGCGCGTGAGGTGGGTTCAGTTGCAAATAGCGGCGAGGTGAGTGGTGAACGTGGTGGCGGTGACGGTGATGGTGACGGTGATGGTGACGTTAGCTGTTAATTGATATTGTGGCGAGCAAGTGGTTAATCTTATTATTATTATTGTGAAAAACAATATTGTGATATTGTGCAAATTCTTTGGCAATGTTGTACTCGATTCTGTTCTCTGTCTCCTCCTCGTTTTCTGGTTTATGCTTTTTCGTATTATTATTACTATTATTATTATTATTAGTTTTCTTATTTGATGTGCTTGTCATGAGATTATTTTGTTGATTTTGCTAACCTTGTGTGGGGTGTTTCGCTTTTTGCAATTTTGTGATTTTGGTTGCATAATTCGATTAGAGAGAGTGAGCTGATTTGGCTGGTTTGTGGTTTCGCTTGCTTTTGAATGATGCGATTCGATTAACTCTGATATTTGTTTTTGTTTCTGTTTTTCTTGTTCGATTCGATGCGATTCGATTTGATTTGATTGGATATTTGTTTCGATTTTGATTTTGATTATTGGTGGCGAGGTGGTGCAATGGTGAGCTTTGCTTTTTGTACAATATGAGTTGATTACGAATTTTGATTGATTGATTGATTGATTTTTAAAATTTTTCCGATATGCTATAAATGCGTTTTACGCTCACGCACTTGCGTCGCAGACGCTCGCACTCGATTTCACGTATGTCCGCGTGCGAGTTCGCTGCCAAGGATATACCGCCTGATAGCTCGCTGCCACCTCCAGTACTCTCCTGTCGTCCACTAATGCCGCCGATGCCAATATCGTCAATCGCTATGTGATGTATGCGCGGCAATTGTGCGTTTGCGCGCAAGTGGGCGTAGTTATGCCGACTGTTCCGACTGGCTGTGCAAATGTTGGGCTCACTCGAGGCGGGACAGGCGAACGAGTCGGAATTGGAGTTCGAATCGGAGCCGCAGCAGACGTCGTCGTCCTCTGGCGCCTCGTCGCTTAACAGCTCGTCGTCGTGGTCGTGGTCGTGCTCGAGCTCGTTCTCCTGCTCCTGCTCGTACTCGTCCTCGATGTCAACGTCGCAACCGCTACTGCTGCTGCTGCTTGCGCGCTGCTGTGAATGCGTCTGCGCTCTCGACTGACTGCTGCTGATGATGGCACGCTTAAGCTCGACGATCAACGGCGATGCGGGCACAAGCGGCGCCGGAGGCTGACAGTCGAATAGACTGGCCGCCTCTCCGACGGGAAGTGGCTGTGTGGTGATCACTGCCGATGCGGGAAGGCCAAGTACACCGTGCGCCGCTTCCGGATAGATGCGATTGTCGGAATTTGTGGAGGAGAACTTCGAGAGCAGCGATTTGCTGGAGGCCTTATTCTTCAGCTGCTGCTGTTGCAGGTAGTAGTAGTCGCGTGGCAGCGAAGAGGTGGCATGCAGCGGATCCTCGGGATCGTAGCAGCTCTGATAGCCACCGAGCGCGGTCCGAAACAGTCCGGGTGTACTCAGCGAGTGCGGCTGCTGTTGAGAGTAGGAAGTGGTTTGGGATTGCGATTGCGACTGGGAATGCTGTTCGTATGAGTCGCTGATGACGCTCGCTGTAGAGGCGGTGGGCGTGGTTGAGGTTAGTGATGAGCTTGAGCCTGCAGCGGCTGCCGCGGCGGCGGCAGCAAATTGAGCGCCCAACAGGGGCGTAAAATTCGCTAGAAACTGCTCCTGCTGTTGCTGTTGGCGTTGTTCGTCAAGTTCGCGGCGATAGGCTTCGATCTGGTCGCTCGGTGAGGGCGTGTTGCTGTGTATGCAGCCTTGAAAGAAATCCAATGCTTCGTACAGGATAAAACACAGGCCCAGGACAAGAAATGTCTCCATCATAAGGAACTGAGAGCCATTGGAAGCGTGCCACAAGCGATGATTAGATACGTGAAGCGAAGCCAAGCTGAGACAAATGAAGCTAACGGAGCAAACGAACGCGAAGAAAATGGCAAATGTTTTGCAATCGGAACAAGAACTGCAACTGGAACTGGAACTGTTCACGTATATCGAACTCGGCCGGTATCGAAAACGAATCGAATTGAACTATAATCCGAACCGAACCGAACCCAAACGACGGGACCGCACTGAGCCGAAATTAAACAAAACGAAGCGAATCGAAGCGCACAGCTAGCGATTGGTAGCTGTTGTTTAATTCTGTTGTCTCTTGTTGTTGCTTTTGCTTCCGTTGTTGTTGTTGTTGTTGTTGTTGGCTGTCGCCGTTGTCTATTCGTATTCAATTTTGCTGTTTGACACTTTTACACTTCATTCTCATTTGCACGTTTGGCGCCGCGTTTCTTTTTGTCATGTTGGCGGGCTTCACATATTTTGGTGTTGTTGTTATTGTTGTTGTTGGCTGCTTTCGTGTTTTTGCTCCTCGCCATACACTGTAGTTGTTGTTGTTGTTATTGTGGCGCGTTTCCTTTTGTTATTCAACGCAAATTAATTTCAAATTTGTTGGCGTTGTCGTCGTCGTTGGTTTTTTCTTGTTTTTTGTTTTATCGCTGCCTCTTGTTATATTTGATGTTGTTTTTGTTGTTATTGTTGTTGTTGTTGTTGGGTTTTTGCTGTCGCTGTTTGTGTGCGCTTTTCATTTGCATAAATTTAACGGTTTATACATATTTATAAAAGATATTTTTCGTCCTGGTGTTTTTTCTCTTATTTTTTTATATTTAATTCCAGATTTTACTTTATTTTATTTCTGCTTTCAAACTTGTGCGCTTCCTTAATTTTTTTTGTCTGCTGTTTGCTGTTGTTGTGAATATTATTTTCTTTCTTTTTTTTAGTAGTTGTTTACATTAATGTTGCCGTTGTTGTTGATTTTGCAAACAAACATACGCAAATACATATGAACACAGTTAGTGGTGCACACATAATATAAGAAAAGGCAACGGAACGGAACAAGAAGCAACAAAAAAATGATACAACAAGCGAACGCGCACACATACACATACACATAATATACATATATATACGAGCATAAACATACATACATACATACTTATGTATACAGGGTGCGCCATCTTTTATGTCGGCATGTAAATATTGAATAACTTTGTCATTAGTGAACCGATTGAGTAGACTTGTGTTAAAAACCTCAGTTCAATTAAATTGTACAGAACCAAATTATAGTAAATACAAATATCTCATACTTGAAAATCGGTTGTTTATTTTCAAAGATATTCAATGTTTACATACCGACATAAAAGATGGCGCACCCTGCACAAACATAGATCGTACATAAAGATAAAACGCAAATTGAAGTGCCATCCATATATATGCACACATATGCAAGTACGAGTATGTGTGTGCACTTATGTATATGTATACCAGTTGTAAATACATAGTTTACGCCGCGTAAACATACAAACTAGCTGGCCTAAAAGTATGCAGTGATTTGTATTTCATTTGCATTGTAAAGCAAAAAATACAGCCTTACGCGTGCCTCTGCGTGCGTGTGCGTGTGCGTGTGGGTGTGTTTGTGTGTGCCTGTGTCAGTGTGTGAGTTTATCGCTGATTTGTGCGCGAGTATAAAAACTGAAAGTCAAACGTAACACATAAAAAATATATGCGAAAGTACAAAAAATGCCAAAAATAAATAAAAATAACAAAATCGAAATAAAGTTCACTTTGTTGGGCTGCAGCGTAGAAAGATAAGAGCATATCCCGAATTGCCCATGACAGGACAGTTCATAGGCACATTAAAGTTCTCAAAAAGCCAAGCAAGCTGCACAAACTACCATCAGAAGGAACAGAACCATCCTTAAAGTGAAGCAGACATATCTAGAAAGCGTTTACTGTAAAGAGAAAATAGATCAGGCCCTACTTGCGCCACTATTTGGTTTACTTTCTAAGCATTTTGTTTCCACCTCTTTTGGTTTCATATTAGAGTTGCAGGAGATTTAATTAATTTTCAGTGCAGCATGAGTAGCATTTTTTTTAGCTATTCATAGCTGCTGTTTCTCAAAAACGACACTCACGATTTAATCTTATTTTCTCTAGCAAACATGATTCTTAAAAAAAAAACAATATATTAATACCAATCATAAATGATAAACGGGGGAAAAAAAGCAATATCACAGCAATACTAGGATAGTTTGAAGCCAAAGAGAATTCAAAAAGAGAAAAACAGAGCTTGGTGGAGATTTTATGCTAGTCGTAACACGTCTTCATCTTTACTCCAAAGGTTTAAAAATTGTCATAAAAAATGACAGTTTTTTTTAATAAAAACAAAAATTTCTTAAGCCAAGTACAAGGTAAATGGTCTTTAGAGGTAGAATTTAGAAAATAATGCCCCTATTTACAGAAAGGAAATTTGATATTTTAAGAAAATGATTTGTATGTACATATTACTTTTATACCATCTTTGGTAAAGTTTTGAGTACAAGGAAAAATACAGTGAGAGAAAATTACTTAGTTCCTAAGGAATGGATGTATAAAAATCCGAATAAAATGTAGCGAGGCAGAGCATGCAAATCCGCATGCTTTTCTATTTTGAAAGACCATATTTTTTGAAGTCGGCAAGTCGAACAATTCTCTCTATATTTTTGAATGTATTTTGTGCTTCAAAACGAGCTGTAAGCCACATTTTCATTGAGATCAGACAATGTGCCATGCATTTCATTGAATATTTGGGAATGTTTAAAAGAAAAATGCGAAATACAAATCAGTTTTCGCCCTAAAATACATTTATTTAAATATTCATTTGTAAAGCACATTTGAAATGTTGGCTAGGAGCAATGCGAATTCTGCCGCAAATCAAAAATTCAACAGCAGTAACAAAGCCCCAATTTAAATGAATACACACACACATGTACGAAACGTTAGTTGGCAAGCCTCGCTAAGCCTTCGCACAGTTGCCATTCATAATGCCCGCCGCCTCAAAGGAACTGTAAGCAAGCTGCAAGCAAAAATACAGTTACCCATAAAAATATATATACACACACACACACACAAAACTAATGTATTTATGTATCCATGCAACTAAGAAGGCAGGCAGAGAAATCCATATACGCTTACTGCTATGGCAACAGCAGCCACGGTATTGATGAGACGAGTCGGCAGCGGAGGAAATCACAGACTGGAATGTACACTGAGAAAAACTGGCTTCGGTTTGTGGAACTATCGAGCTATGAGAACTTAAGTTACACCAAAGAAATGTCATTTTGTAAATCAGTTTGGTATGAGTTATAGTTTTAAATGAACAGGTTGTTTTTTAAGAACCTTTTTTAGCCATCGATATTGATTGATATTTGTTAGAAATTTGATTGAATTTTACTGTTCCAGCTCCAGTTTGAAGAAACTAATTAAAGCAGTATATGGAACTTTTTAACGAGAACTGTTTAGACTACAAAACACATCTCACTTACTTTTTACATTGCAGTCTAGAGTAAAGGCATCTATGCATTGTTGTCTTCAATAATAAACAATAATAAGCGGATCAATGATGCGGATAGCCTTAAATTTTTAATCTACAAGTATTAATAGCTTGGCTCTAGTATGGCTACTTGTAGTATAACAATAATATGACTAAAGCAAGGCTATAGTTCGGCTTTTGACAGCACAAAAACACAATCTATATACATATACACCTAATTCTGTTTTACACGGTTTGAAAATTACAAATTTAATATATGGTTACACGACTTTATTCCAAAAATTTGCGAGCTGATGAGTGGTCGGAAAATCGGAAAATTTGAGCTAACTGGCCAAAAACCGGAGTGAACGCCCGCTCTAGTGATTAACAGGCCTCAAAAGCGAGCTATAGAAAAGGGATTGAATAGAATAGAATACGCTATGGAATGGATCCTGTATGTAGCAGTAATAAAGAAGAAAAAAGAGTCGAAAACAAAGTAAAAGCAAAATACTATTCAGAGTTTATTTATGTGTATAGTATTTGTAGCGAAATATGTGGCGAAGGCACAAACTAGCACGATGAAAATTTGTTGACATGCAGGACATACAATTACACACACACACACACATGCTTACACACGCACACGTACACACACACACACACACACACACACACACATGGGCTGGCATTCAATGGACTTGACTGACTGTAGTCGCTGCCCACTCGCTCTCAGTCACAACAATGCGTCTTTTATTGAATTTACATTTTGTATTTGAAATTGCAACAAACACACACACACACACACACAAATGTATGTGTGTGTGTGTGTGTGCTTTGTGCGAAAATAGTTTTTCACCGAGGCATGGCGCCAAATTTTGTGCACAAACATTATTAAGCTGGAATTTGAGTAAAATTAAATATTTGCTTATGCATTGCAAATTTTATTGCAGCCGTCAACGTTATATCCAACATTGTTGTCCTTGTTGTTGTTGTTGTTGTTGTTATTGATGTTGTCGTGGCCTGGTAGTTATTACAGCTACCACTACATACATGCAGTCGAGCTTCGCTAATGCTAATTTTATAATCAGACTATTTTTAGAACTCATTCGGTTGAAAGTCCAGCTGCAGAGATTTTTGGATACTCTTTACAAAAAATGTTGCTGCTGAGCTCCCAAAATCTATATCCGGTTTCGTTATTCCGTTTTCAGATCAAGGATGGCGAAATTGAATTTATTTATTATTTTAGAATAAAAATTTGACGAAATGGTTTTTGAATGAAATAAAAGATTGACTGCAAACTTTGAAGCAGTGTCCAGGAAATTCTTTTTCGAGTAATCAGACTGTAGTCGATGGCTATTTTGTTGTGCATATAAATAAATACAAGTATATAGGTATATACACGTAGATATGTACAGCTATCCTAGAGTGTTTGCAAATTATCGCTACTTTATTATTGCTGTTAGGGTTTGCTCTTGTGGTTGGTCTT